ACTGAAATCTTCTCCTCTGGAAATATCTGCTGAACCCATCTTATGAACCCATCCTAGAAGAATGTTAAATCATGACACACACATTTTCTTTGCAAAATCTGCCTCGAGAATCTGTTTCCTTAGTAGAAAGGGCACAGAAGAGCACTACAACCACACTGTTGCTACCTTCTAAAGTATATTACTGGTTTCCTACGACAAAATAGCTGCCAAAACCAATATTGTGTCTCAGAGTGATTTGTTCCCTTAAAAAAAGTATCCTTGCACTTGACAAATTCTCTCCTTAAATTGCTTGGCATAGCCAGCAATACTGTCACTCACCCAAATCTTAGCACTTTCTACAAAATGACTGCTAACAAAGTATGCATCTGTTGGGCATTTGTGCAGGAGGTGGTTAGCAGGGGTTCCAAAGTGCATGTTGCCAGCTACTATAACAGGGCTATGAAACCTGTCCCACTTTGTGCACTGAATGTGAAACTAAATAACCTTCAGTAAATACTACAGTGGCAGCCGGGGTCACAGGAGTAAAGATTATAGCTTCTGATTAGTTCTTTTCACAGGGTATCAGAAACTTAAACTGATACATACAGATTAAAGACAGCACTTACTTTCATTTTGTGAAGGCAAAATTCTCATACTCTGTGCCAGAAGATGCCTTTGATATGTATACTGGCATGAAATAAAAAGACTTGCTAATGCAACATTAAACACAAGGGGGGATTTTAAATTTACAAAAGATACTAATGCAAAGTTACAATTCCTACAGTAATCATGACTTAGTTCCTATAAGTTCAGTCCTGTAAAGTTCTGCTCTGTGGTTACATGCTCCAAGAAGGAAGTGAAACACGCCAGCAATTTCACCCTTTCACCCATTTCAAAGGATATACTTATGCAATTTAGCTTAAGGAATTTGCTTAAATGTTTCACTTAATGAAAAGTAGATCACTAAGCACATTGCAGACCTGGGACCCTTACATTAAGGAGAGCATCAGTCATGTAAGGTTAAGGTCAGAAAAAAAAGTTTGTAGAACCCATGCATGCCATCATTTTGAATTTTTCTCCTATTACCAGATTGAGCAAATATGCTTACAAATGCTATATTATTTGGAAAAGACAACGTAATCACAAGAAATGGTTAAAAAACAAATAAACAAATAATAAACAAAACCTCAACAAATACAAAACTTGTATTTTTTTGCTTACAGTCTACTCAGCTTTGAGCAGAAGAATGAAACTGTTTTCCCTTAAAAATAAGAAGTGGGCATTTAGGCATGTAACACAACTCTGGAAAGAGACTTCAGAGAAATCACTTGTTCACATAAACATGTCTGACAGTGTTTTGACACATACCATCAGAGGTGGGGGTTTTGCATCATTTTGCACAAATTCCAGCTAAAGCAGCTGTACAATAAAGGCTCACAGATTGCCTGCAAACTGTCTGAAAGTTGAAGAGAACAGAAACTGCTCTAAGGCATGGTATCACCTGCTGCTGCCAGAGTTTAAAGTGGAGGTCTCCTTCCTGCAGAACTGCCTAGAGATGAGGACAGTCTGAAGGTGATGCAGTGCCTTTTCCCTTCCTGAGACTTAGAGCTGCCTCCAAAGCAAAGGTCACTGCTCAGGTGGCAGGTAACAACCAGGCAGCTCACTTCCCCTTTCATTTACTGTGGCAGCAAATCTCAAGAACAAGATGGAAAATGCATTAGCTCTCTTTTCTGTTAAAGCAAGGTTATATTTAACTGCTTCACACTCCACATTGTACCTAAAATCCTTATGCCAAGTTAATTTCCAAGTAACAAGACGATGTGAGAACACAACATGTCCCTGTTCAGCTATTCCAGAATACAAATGTTAAACCCTGCATAAAAGACATGCAGGGATTACAGGTAACTCACCACGGGAGGTAAATTATTTTCGTACCTACCCCTCTGCCCCTTCGAGGTGGAAAAGGCTGGGACAAAGGAAAACTCCACAAAAGTTCATCTGAGAAAACTTGATTGCTGTTCTGATATTTCATCTGAGCTGGCAATAAAACCAAATCCCAGGAAAGAGTAAAAACTGGACTGTACTGCATTTGTGCCCATAGTGCTTTAAATGGGTCAGGGATTATGCATGAAATTGAGCCCAGATCTGAAAAACTTCAAGTTGAAATGAAAATATTAAACAGGTAGCTGTTGGTGAAGATATTGACATACATAATTCACAAAAAGTAGCTTTAAAGTGTGTCCCAGAGTTTGCAGACACATTATAATAAACTTCATGATGAGATCTGTATTGATGAACCCTTATGAAGACATGGATCATGTTAAAAATTCAGCAGGGTGACCTTCATGTTCTCTTTAGAAAAAGCAAAACAAAAAGCACCACGTAACAGAGGTGCTATAAGGTAAATCAGCAGTTTATTGAAACTAGCCAACATTACAGATTTCAAGGCCCTTCAGCTCAATTGGTATTGCAACGCAGACATTTCTGCCTCTGAGCTCACTCTGTACAGAAACACTGCCTTCTATTTGGCATAGGTGGTATCTTAGATAACACTGACAGTGTTCTATTGCACATATCAGTATACTGATTTACTATGTAAAGGCCAACTGAGGCTTTTTACTCTAGATGGAAATCGCAAGTCAGTTTAGCCTCTCACAGAGGTGTTAAGATCAGTGGCCATGATCCTATAAGATGTGAATATCTGTAATTTTTACGTTTGTGAATAGTCAATTCTGTGTTTAGAATTTGAGGCCTTTTTAAAGGCTAGCCATGAGTGGGGAAAACTCACAGAAGGAAGGAGAAAGGATGAGGGTAATCATAAGAAGATCGCATTACTACATGAAATAGAGAAACCAAGCAGTCCTCCTGCTTCCAGGACACTACCTCATATGGAAGCAAATTTATATGTGTAAACATAAGCAGACTCCATTGATCTTCAGTTACCCATTATTACTCAAGAATGTCTGTTAGCTTTCCTGGAGCATTTTTGAAGAAAGTAACTTTACAGAGGATGAAGAGATTATTCAGGCAAAGGAGACAGCACTGAATGCATGTTTAAGGCAGTACAATTGGGCTTACTTTGAGAAATTTAACTCATCTCTCTTTGCAGACAGAGGTAGTATTTAGTTTACCATTTCAAGAGAGGGTGGGCTGAACCAGATTATTTACTTGAATCCAAGATTATTATTTTGAATACAAGAATACTGTACCACATTCAAGACTTTGTGAAAATCAATGAACTCTTTCCCATTCAACCTTCTGAATCCCGTTAAAGACTGCAACAGAAGAAAATCTGATGGTTTTACCTTATCAGAACCAATACAAATCCTACTAACCCTAAGCTGACCAAGCTGATGAGCAGTCTGTGTATCTAACACAGTTCACGAAACACAGAACATCAGTCCATGCAATATCTTCAGGCATATCCTGATGGCCACTGTTTGATCTCTATGCACAATCAAAACAGAAGTCCAAGTTGCTAATAAGACAGATTTGGATTTCAGGCGGTAGTAGTTTGATGATATCCTTGTTTCTTTTATTTTTTAAAAAAGAATAATTCTTACCGTGCTTATTTAATTTGAGGATTTTTCATTGGGTCTGCCAGTTACAGCTCAGTCACACAGCCTGAACTGACTGTATCACTAGGGCACACACCCCCTCCTCAGGCAATTACAGACTGGAAAGTAAATCCAAAGTCAGTTATCAAGATTTTATCTTCCCAGTTACAAACACCTGGAAATTAGGAATTACAACATGATGGCAGGGCAGTAATAATTGCATGGTTATGTAGGGAGTGAAAATTACACTTTTTTTGTGGTCTGCGACTTGCTATGTTCATTCTTAAAGTAGTGCCCAGAGTTCTATTAAACTCAGACATCAGTGCTAATACTCAAATTCAAAATCTGGAAAAACATAAAGGTGGGAAATAAATGTATTAAGCCCTCAAGCACTACTTCTAGTGAGTGTTGAGATATCAGATCTAAAATTCACCTTGTCAAGCATGTCCTCAGACTGCATAAATCTCTATAGGGAAGTAATCGAAAGTCCAGTGAAGTCAGCAGGAAAATTGTTTCCGCTAGTTTCAGTGGGTTTTCAGTGGCCTCCAAAAAAAAAAAATGCAAAGGAGAGCTACAGGAGAGAACCCAGAATATCGGTTTCCAATGCTATAAATCATTAATCTATGGCTCCTGAAGTTCCTGAGATACCAGTTTATGTTGAAATCAAAATGTGGTGTGGGAGGGAATAGGTACAGGGGTCAAGGGACAGTAAGCAGAATAATATGATTTCAAAACATAACCACGATTGGTGAAGAACAGCACAAGTAGTGTTAGAGCTCGTGAACTTTCCCAGTAACAGTAATCTGAGTGATTTTTTAATAGCTGCTATTTGTGCAGGGCAATAAAAGTATACTACTTGGTTGTATTGCATAAATACTAGAGCTGTTAAGTCTCCAACACTTCCTGTAACTCAAGCACAAATAACTTAGAATTTTTACACTTGATGAAGCTATGGAAATTAAGAAAAACATATTTTAATACACTGCAGTATTACACAGTGCGTGCATAGAAGTTGTAAACCTGAGAAAACACACAGTAAGCATTTTCCAACAATATAGTTCTTCTGATTAAAGCAAAGGTCTTCTTAGAGTTGCAACACATCCGAGTTGTGAAACAGGAGCAATTTGTTTAAGTGACAAAAGAAAACAGCTTACCTAATCCTTTTAGAAGATCCCATCAATTAAAGAAAAAGCCCTGTCTTCAGATGAAAAAGCCCACCTTACAAAAGGGGATGTGAAACGAGATTCCCATGGTACTTGTATCCAAGCAAGGCAGGAATTGCAACTCTAACTAAAACTTCCTAGGTAGCTACATCAGCTTTCTGCTACACAGATACCAGTTTAAGTAAGTTTTCAATTCAGAACAGTCACCTCAGCTCCAGCCACAACTGGCAGATCTATACGTTAAGACATTTAGTACATACGTCACCATTTAACAATAATCTTTAAAAAAAATAAGACTTACATTGTTTTTTCATGTCTTTAAGTTGATCCTTAAAATACATATATTTTTCATTTTTTTCCAAATCCGAGTCACTGTTCATGCTCTCCAATGCAGTAAATTTTTCTTTTACTAGTGATTTCAGATCTGGTATCTTTTCTGGTTTGTCTTGTTTTATCTGTAAGGAACAAGAGACAGAACACTGTTATTCGCTGTGACACACATGGCAATATACAAATGTTTGCCAACAAATTCGTGAGCATAATCTCCCTTTGACGCCAGTTAGGGTTCTGCTATGAAACCATGAACTGCTGGTAATTATTTATCCAAGAAAAACTAACTATGAAATGTATAGACTGTCTTCCAGTGTCATTTAACTCAGATGCTGTATGCAGAGCATATCTTACTTTAACAATAAGGACAATTGAACCTCTGTGGTCAAAGTTACCTCTGTGGGTGGCAAAGGTCAACAACAACCAGCACAGCATTGCATGTGAATGTAACAAAGAATCTAACTCTGTCCTAGAGGGTAAAAAGATGGCTGAAAAATAGAAATTAAAAAGAAAGGAAGAAAGGAGGAAAGAAGGAAAGAAGAAGGAAGGAAAGAAGGAAAGAGAGAGAGAGAGAGAGAGAGAGAAGAAGGAAGAGAGGAAGGGAGGAGGGATGGAGGGATGGAGGGAGAGAAGAAGGAAGGGAAGGAAGGGAGGAAGGGAGGAAGAGAGGAAGGGAGGAAGGGATGAAGGAAGGAAGGAAGGGAGGAGGGGAGGAAGAGAAGAAGGGAGGAAGGGAGGAAGAGAGGAAGGGAGGAAGGGATGCAGGAAGGAAGGAAGGAAGGAAGGAAGGAAGGAAGGAAGGAAGGAAGGAAGCAAGCAAGCAAGCAAGCAAGCAGGCAAGCAAATTCTCTAGTTTTGCTTGCTTTAATTCCCTTCTCATCATTTTTTTCAATCAACTCTTCAGAGGCTTATAACCTATATGGTGACTGATGTAAAAACAGCAGAATATGCAGTACAGATAGCTAATACAAAATGAAACCACCTCAATTTATTTGTGCCATGTGAACAACAAGCATTAAGCCATACAGTTAGGCAAAAAGATCGCTACTTTAAAAGCACTTCCTTACAGTAATTGCCTCTGGAATAAATGAAAAATTTGACTGCAAATAACAATGGAAGTCATGACAGAGGCAACGAAAAGCTACTCTAAGAATGTAAAAGTATTCTGGGAATTCCTTAAAAAACAATACGAGTTTTCCCTTCTGCTTCTCAAGCCAATGTTAAATTTGAGGGCACTGTACCTTTGCTAGGTCTTCATATGAATTATAGTGGTGGCCTGGGGACAATGTTATGCACTGGCGGCCAGCAGAAGCACAGCCTCTGAAAGAAGGCAGCATCTATCAAATCTGTAATCATAAACATTTTCTGAACCAAAGATTATTTCTACTCCAGCCTATACAAAGCATAGGGCAAAATACATCCGTCTGAAACAAAGAGGTAATACCATCTATGCTCTTCTCCAGCTGCACACCTTAAATCCTGCCCCTCACCAGACAGACAGCATAGAGCCCACTGAGGAGCCTTTAATTAAATTGATTATGTGTTCCACCATTCACAGAGAGGCAGGGAACCCTATGGGATACATTTTATAATAGGAATTCCACGAACTATTAGTATTCTTTCAAGAGCAAAGACAGTTTGTGCATTTATATCAGGTAGGTGCAAGTTATGGCAAGGATAAGAATAAGAAAAAAACACAAACAGCCAGGTGACAGTTTGCAGTTTTCAAAGGTGCCTGGAGACAAAAGATCACCAACCACAACACCCATCTGCAAATGGGACAGACACTGTACAATAAGCGCTAAGAAAGACCAGCAGCAGCATCACAGGTGCTCAGACCGCTGCATAAAACCAGGCAGCCTCATCCTCTGACACTTGGCAAAGACAGCAAAGAAAAAAAGCCAACCTATGCCTCGGGCAATGGGGCAATCATATGCACTCGAATGATTTGTCTGTCTCAGCACTGCTGCAAAAGAGAACCCACCGTAATCAAAACTAACATTGTTCTGCACTCAGCTGCAGAAGAAACTTGGCTGTCAGCTGTATTCAAACACAGAAAGCATTTACTACATCAGAATACATTTTAAATCCAACACACGATAAAATAAATGATTTGATTTGGACAGCACACAGTGCAGATACACTCCTTCCTGCCACAGCTCCTTCAGGCTGTTGGTACAGATGTTCTCTCCCTACCACCATGTCTGAACAAATAATACCCAGTCACTACTCTCATCAAGAATGAGAGCACTATGACCAGATAACATGTACAAGATCCAGCTGTGCATACTGAAAAAAAAACAAGTTTCCAAGTTGCCAATACTCACACAAAGAAAAAAAGAAACAATCTGGATGTTCATTACAGATGTCTATTTATCACAATGTCAATTAACTATTCTCCATAGGGATTAACTTTTCACATCAAGACAGTTAGATCAGGCTCTTTATATCTAGTTCTTGACTCGTGAAAGATTTCAGTATAGAAGCTCATCAAGCAGTGTCTCCAGTAATACCCTTGAGTCCAATTTCCAGAATTAAAGGACTCAACACACATGAGCAGAACAGGAAGCAGGAACCGTAACTTACACCATTATGTTAGCAAAAAGGACAGATGTTTGAGAAGCCGCACTGTATGTATGCAAAGAAACTTTGGCCCTGCCACTGTGGGACTAAAAAAAGGTTCATGCAGGCATCTACACTAACCTCAAGGGACCCACTGCCTGCAAATTAGAGTCACACAACTCGCTGCCAGATCCTAGAAGGTAAATGCATGTCATGTTCTTAAAGGCAACATGAACAGATCCCCAGTTGCCAAGGAAAAACTGTCATTCATACCAGTTATTTTCCCATCAGCAGTATGTGAAGCAGTAAAGACAGTCCAGCAATGCAGCACGCATGACACAGGCTCAGACAACCACGTAATGTAGAAATCTGTAGTCAGATGAGAGAGATGGTTGAAGAACACTCCTTCCTGTAGTTTAACTTATTTCATGTGTTTACAAGATTGAATTCAGTTTCTGTTCACCTCCAGATGATTGCTTTCATTAACATGATTAACAGGGACACCATCCCTGACCGCACTCAATACTGCATTGTCACATGCTATTACTGAAATGCCAGGTAGACCTTCTGGAAGGTCTGCATGTCGTAGGTGAATAATAAAGCATGTCCACCCACTGTAATAACAAGTAAATACGTTTGCTGTGCATGAGCAATTTCTCTCTGGTGCCGCATGTCCTACTCCATGAATAGGTTTAAGAACAGTCTCATGCAACAACACATGACAACAAAAGGAAAAAAAAAAAACATGACATCAAACCTAGCTCCTCAGAGTGGGGCAGAATTGCAACATCTTACACTGCATCAGCACACCACACTTACAGGTACATTCCAGTTTTCTTTAGTTCTCACCACCCACTGCCTAATGTACAGATTCATGACAGAGGTAGTGATGAGATCAGCAAAACAAAATGAAGGAGGCCAATATAAACACAGGATATGGCAAAGGGATGGAACAGAACTGTCAGTACTCAAGGTAACAAGCTGGGGTCATATTTTTTTTATTTCAGGAGCCTATCAGAGAGATGCTCACTAGCAAACCTGAAGCCATCAGTATGTTCAATTTGTCAGTAAAAATTACTTCACATGGGAACCATGAAAAGACATGTTAAGCAAACGGCTGTTCATTTAGCAGCACTGTCAGCCAAAACCAGCATGCTAAGCAACACCTTGCAGTCATTAGTCAATCCATTGAGAGTTACATTGATTTTGAAATGGGGTGGAGGCATACACACCCTATAAAACATCCTGGAAATGACATATAACTATGAACTGGGAGTGTTAAGGACATATGGTGAAAAGAAGTATCAGTCACAACAGCTTGTTTACAGCAAAAGAAAAAGCAGAAGGATCTGCTGTGACAGTCCCAAAGCAGCAATGAACCACATGAGTACTTACATGGAAGCTCAGCAATAAGAAGAACAGACATGTTATATAAGATCATTAATGGTACACCATACATGATCTAACAGCATTTCTGACAGGAAAACATATTGAGAAATACAGCCCCAAAAATACACTGTTCAAGGAAACACAGCCATGATTTACTTATCAAAAGAAACATTTGCTCATGGAAATAGCTTATTGTGTTTTAACGGGCAATGCTTATGAAATGAGCCAGCCCACAGCAGTTCTCTGACTTCTGTCAACATACATCCACAGGAATGAGCCTTGTTTTTGTAGATTCGTTCACTGGCACAACGTGTGTGTTAAATACATAAACAGTTAGACTGCCTCCAAAAATCCATTAGTCAATCTTGCACAATCTTAGGCTTGCACAAGCCTAAGAAATTTGTAAACTCCAGGTATTCTAAGAGCCAGTCTGGAGAATTTTCAGTTCATCAATTAGATCAGTCCCAGAGCCAGTTAGGTCACCGAATCACAGAATGGCCAGGGTTGGAAGGGACCTCAAGGATCATAAATCTCCAACCCCCCTGCCACATGCAGGGCCACCAACCTCCACATTTAATACTAGACCAGGCTGCCCAGGGCCCCATCCAACCTGGCCTTGAACACCTCCAGGGACGGGGCATCCACAGCCTCTCTGGGCAGCCTGTTCCAGCACCTCACCACTCTCATAGTAAAGAACTTAAATGTCAAACATACCACTGACTAAAACTGGACCAGTTTTCAGCATTAATCTACAAACAATAAGGGATCGGTGCCTAAAAAGGCACTAATTAGCATAACTGCATGCATGCAGCATTACAGTGTTAAGTAATTTGTTCTTCCCAGTGTTAGATCTCAAAGCATTTTGCAACTATTAAAGAATTTAGCCTCAAACATCCATTGTGACATACATACTATCAATTCTATTTTACAAATAGTAAGACTGTGGCACAAAGAGATCAATAGCTTAGCCTAAGGATGCACAAGAAGACTGTGGCAGAACTAAGAATGAATAATTCCCAGCCCTCTACTTTGAGCACAAAGCCATCCTTCTACCTTCCCTTTTAATTGAGGGAAAGTTTGAAATAATACATGCATATAAATAACGTTACAACAGCTTGTGGCTGCTTGGCAAACTTTGTGACAAAAGGGTGGCATTCTGTGTGCCACAAAAATG